ATCCTCCTAATCCAGCTTGGTTTGGGGGTGGGGGGGAGGGGGGGGGGAGGGTAGGAAGCATCCTTGTTCTTCAGCACTAGCCCTAGGACGCAAGACAAGAAGAGGTAGCCGTAGTTGCAGGATCGTAGTGATGCTCTCTGAGCAATTAGTTGTCTTAACCCTGTGTGGAAACGAAAAGAAACTTCCTAAGGGCAGTACATGTGGAGGACTTCTCGGTATGGTGTACGGGAAAGGGTTGGGTGCCGAATACGTCTGTTGTCCGATCAATGTATATAATCTCGTTATGTGAAATTTTAGCGTTTAGAACTGAAAAAATGCATACTTGATCTACGATTGCCGATGCAGGGCTGGAAATGTGCTCTGAGAGACGATAAGTCTTACTGAGATCGTACTCGTTGATAAGTGATAAGGTGTGGTCGACGACGAACAGCAGCAGACGATTGTTGGCCGCATCACAAGTCAACAGAACAACTGCTCTGAAATCGAAAGAACCATGTTTCGGTGCTTACTATGGTTATAAGAGGAGCCACGTATCCTGTAGGCACAGTTCACGAATAAAAAATTCTGAATACCTCTCCTGGGGTGTAGTGCAGTGATAACAAGACCTTGTCTTGGCAGCCACTGGTACATCTTAGCCGGGGGGGGGGGGGGATTTCAGAAATATTTTCATCGTAAACAGTGCCTTCAAAGTAGCTATGGCATTGGCTCTAGTTTTTTACGAACATTTCGCTGACAAAGTGGTAATTTCGTTGGGCCTCGACTTTGTGAGCTTCTTCCAAGAATTGCGCTTTTGTTTGCCATAACTTGTTAAATTTAGGTGATGTATTTTGTTTGTTACACCGCTACGTGCAACATTTAGATTTTTCGAACAAATCGGTGACGTAAAAGAGAAGATGGATGCAAAAAACCGTTTCGCCGAATTCTATATACACAGTAGAAAAACAAGGACATCATCGGTTGCGGCAAGTTGTCATAACAATGGCATTCTCATTCTGGTGACGTCCTGCGCGATTCAAAGCGTCAGAACCGATCGCGTTCATGCGGTGTTTTCGAAGTGAGAATGCACCAAAACATGCCCGACCTATTCAGCCACTCATGCTCCATTACTGTATGGGTAAGGAAGAAACATTCAAAGAGAATTTTATGTATAATTTTGGGTGCAGTTGAAAAGCCAAATCGGTGAACACGGTTTGTGGCCGTCTTTGTTTGCTTGGGAAACCCACTTGTATTCCGCTTGATCTTCTGCCACACTGACGTACTGATAGCGAGTTTTTCGAGACTCTTTTAGAGTTTTCCAGGCCTGAAGGAATGTGCTTCAAAACTCAATGATGGATGGACGGAGAATGAGTCAAGAGCTGGTACCTTTTTAGCCCTGACGTAACACCAAACTGCACTTTTCACATTGTCCCCACTGACCATAAATAATTGACCCCTTGGCCCAACCGTTAGCCATCGCGTTCGACTCATCTCAATTTTGGGGTCTTTTGGGCAGAGGATCACCTGGAAAAAAGGAAGTCATGAAGAGGCTCTGAGAGAAAACCCCACCCACAGACTCACATCAAGCTTTCTGAAGCTGTTCGCGATATCGAAGACATGCACCGATCGTCCTTTTGATTGCATTATGCTAACGTACCTAGAATAGTTAATGAAGCATTGTAAAGAATTAGCTATTGGAGAGCTATCAGCTAGTGGGAGAAAAAAGATAATGTCAAGGGAACGAGGAAATTGAGAGGATATGAGAGATATGGTAATGTTCAGAACAGGATGGAAAAAGGGGATGTGTGAGCAATTCAGATTGAGGAAGGGCATAAGGCAGATAAAAAACCGAACAAACTCCGGAGAATTTCATCGAAATTCGTTGGGCACGACTGGAGGAACAGCAGGAAAAAGTGAAAAGTATTGGGCTGTCGAAAAGTAATGACGGTATTCGAAAACGATTCCCCAAACAGATTATCTTAGAAGTTCGAACGTTTTTATTTGACATATATTACAGGTATATATCTGAACTTTGTTTTCGAGAATACCGAAAAATTCCATTCATATTTGTAATTTTAAGATCAGTTTGGGCATGGAGCGTTGGATAGAGCATTTTCGACACCTTTCATCCTGCTACTTCTACCGTGTTTGAACAGCTAGTGTTGCCGGTGTTTGACATAATGTAAGTCAAAAATAAGGTGAAAATGCCATATGCCTTCACATCTGCCAGATCACATGTGGGAACTGGTTCCCAACATTTCGCTCTAACAATTTTTTACTTCAAGTTAGGAGGACCAACAGGGATGCATAATTGTCTTTTGATGGCATTGGCCAGAGACGACATTCATGTATCCCATGTGGGAACCTACTGCGAATTCCAACCTATCCATGAGAAAATTAGCAAGAATATCGAACAACTTGGACTAGTAAAAAATTCTATCATGTGCCACATGGGTTTAAGGAGAAACACATGACGTCGATAGTTAGTGCCTGGGATTTCCGCGCCAAACCTCAATGAAGACCTCCATTCATGAAGCACGAAGTGCTGTTGATGAAAGTTGGGATGAAGTTACTCACATATGATTGTGGTAAATACCGGATGAACCTGCCCAGACGAGGGCCGAAGCTGATCTTCATCAAAAGAAGGTCATGCTATTAATTCGATGAGATCACAAATGTTGAAGTGGTTTGAAGTGTGAGGAACCTGCATGATAACTTAAACCAGGAA